TAATATAACCGGCTCGGCCTAATTATAATTTTATCCTTATCAGGAGATGACAAGTGTCATCATCCTAACAACCCAAGAAGCCTATAAATAGAGGCCTAGAGGAAGAAGGGGGAATACACAAATTCAGAATTCAAAAATCCAGAAACTCGGAAATTCAAAAGGTCCAGAAACTGAGAGAATCAATAATCCCGAGGGCAAACCTGAAGGCGAAGAACACCAAGCACATCCAAAGTCGTGCCGTTCTTCACCAAATTCAATAAATTCTTTCATCTCTGAAGACGAAGAACAACAAACACATCCAAAGACGTGTCGTTCTTCCTCAAATTCAACAAAGGACACAAATTCAGAATTTAGAAGTCCAGAAATTTAGACACAAATTCAGAATTCAGAAGTCCAGAAATTCAAAGACTCAGAAATCCAGACACAAATTCAAAATTCAGAAATCCAGAATTTCAGAGAAAAATTCTCATCCCCAACATCCAAACCTAAATATGAAGAACACCAAGCACATTAAATCGTGCTGTTCTTCATCAAATTCCATGGTGATCAACAACAAGCACATCAAATCGTGTTGTTCTTCATCCAAATTTCACGGTGATTCAAGATCAAGCTCATACAACCCTTGGATCCAATCAACCAAAAAGGAGATCGAATCAAATAACCTTATTCTTTGCAAAGAATATTACAGTGGGTTGTACTCCAATTTTTCCAATTTAATAAAATATTATTTTTGTTCCATATTTTGTCCTTATTTACAAACTACAAAATTTGTGTGTACAGGGTTAAATAGTCATTTTTTCATATATAAAAGATTTATAGGATTGTGTATGTATATATTTAAAATTTTAAAGGGTGTCAATGTAAATTAAGTGCGTGCGAAGTATAATTGCAAATAAAAAGATTGTTTGTATTATTTGTTAGTTACAATGTATAAAGATTGTTTGTATCACTTGTTAGTTACAATATATAAAGATTGTTTTGTATCACTTGTTTTTATCTAATTTAATTTAATATTCAAATTCGCATCAATATTCAATGAAGGCAGGTTCTTGGAAGCTGCTTGCTTGAGAAGACTTGGTTAAATTGGAATGTGTGGGTTTGTTACATTAATTGTGAGGTAACTGAATACCCAAATTTTGTAACAAAAAAATTAAGGAAAAAAATATTGAGCAAATAATAATTTTATTGATTTATAAAAAATTGGGTACAATTTGAAGTATTCTTTACAAAAGAAAGAAATTCTAGTAGTGTGAGATTATTAAGACGTTTATGTTTGTATTTTGCTCATGCCTTCTACCACTGCCATTTTCCTCCTCCTCCTCTTTTAAAATAATTATAGAAGAATATTATTTTGATAATTTAAATATATATATTTTTTATCACTTAGAGTTCTTTAAAGAATCTACATTCCAACCAAATATTAGAAAGGTGATGATTATTTCATTTCTACATCATATTTCATATTTATAACAAAGTAGAATGAGAATGACCAATATTTCATTCTCATTTCGTTTCCACTTACACTCCATTGTCATTTTGCACACCAAACGTAGTATAAGTGAAATTCCAACAATGCCATCAGTTGAAAAAAAAAAGTCCAAAGTAATATTATTATTATTTGTAGTAACTTATGTATCCACATGTGATATGAAAAGAAAATTGTCCTTCGATAAATTTAATCATATTAATATAATTTTATTAAATATCTAATTAGCAAGTAGACATTTTTAATATTCATATTAAATATACATTTAATTTACTAGTTCTATAATTAAAAAGGTAGACATTTATATCCATATTAAGTTTGGCGACCTTGTGGACAGGTGTGCGTGGACTGGCGCGAGGCACTCGTAGGCTATGTGTGCACAATCTCACATTCCTTGGGTCTGGAAAAAAGAAGTGTTATATATGTAGGTGATACTATCTCCAAATGGTATGAGTTAGGTCTTTTGAAGTAAAACTTTTGAACAAAATCGTGCAAGCTCGGACGCAAAATAAATAATATCATATCATGTGATGAAGTTTGGCTAACGAGGATGTTGGACTCTAGATTTACATTAAATATACATTTAATTATAAAAACACGTATACATATTCTATATATATACATATTCTATATATATATATATATATATATATATATATATATATATATATAGTATTTAAGCTAAAAATGTCATGGTACATAATTATAAAATTTGAATTATTTATTCTAAATTTGGATAATTAAGTTACTGAGTTTGCAAATTAGAAACCTAAAGTTTATATATAATATATATTTGCAACTTAAACATTGCTAATTAATATTTCAAATTTGCAAATTATAAATGTTGCAAAATTAACTTATAAACCTGCAAAGACCTCCTTATAATTTCTAAGAGCATCTCCAACCGTTGTGTATATTTTTATCCTTATTTAAAAAAGTGTGCAAAAAATACCTCTAATCTTTTTACATTGTGCAAAAATATCTCATTTGACATAAATTAGTGTTGTAATACTCGTAGTGTTGTAATACTCGTTTTGCCCTTTTACTCTTCCAAAAATGCCCAAGAGGTATATATGCTATTAATCTCATAATATAGGAGTGTTATGTGCACATTACCTTTTATATATATATATATATATATATATATATTGGAAACTTTTTTTTCTATATATATTTCTAAATATTTTTTTATAAAAAAAAACTATGAGAATTTGTAGAACAAGGATTTGAATTTTTTGAGATTCCAGTTTAGGCTTTTTTACTAATTTTTTTTCTTTATTTTTTATTTTTTGTACCAACACTGTTAAACCAAAAAAAAATTCCCAATATCATGTGCACTGGTTTTCGGAGTTTGGAAAAATTTTGTTTTCTTTAGTTTGCACTTTATTTTTGTTTTTTGTTTTTTTTTTTCTTTCTATTTTTATCTTTACTTTTCTTTTACAGTTTTATTTTTATCTTTACTTGTCCATTGCCGTCATCCTTCAATAGTGTCATTTCTGGTCATTTTATAAAATTATTTATCTATATATATTTTATAAAATGGTTCAGTAAAGGTAATTTAGTCAATTCATGGTTTAAATTTGTCAGAATGACCTATTTGCACTAGATTGAAACTTTAGGATTATTTTTTGAGGGGCATCTCCAATAGTATCATTTTTTTGTCATTTTACAAAACACACACACATGTAAGCATAATAGGGATGCATTTATTATAATAGTCCTTGCACTTGGAAAGTTGTCAACAATCCTTGCATTATATTGTGCATGGCCAGGCCCAACGTTGAAAATAGAGAATTTTAAGGCCCATCAGCAAACAAATTATGAAAATATTTGTCACGATCCAAATCCGTAGGATCTGAGTCATGAACGGATATGGATATAAGCCTGACTTCTACTCAAGCCCAAACACCACACTATGAGTAAAATGGTCATTCATAAACGTAGCTATCAAGCCTATCATGTAGCTAGTCAGACATTTTAGAACATAGGAACTTCAATGCAAAATTTCGTGAACGTTTGAGAAAATTGGTATAAAATGAAACAGTTCCAATGCATAGAAATCATGTTTTGGTTTTGAAGGACCCGTTTGAAAGAGAGGTAAAATGACACTGCTATAATTGCCAGACCAACCTTATAAAAACCTTAAAACATGCACAAAGTGACAATGCAGAAGTCCCCTCACACACCCAGTGAAAAACCAAGTCAAAATCATATTTTTCCTTTGAACAACCAATTTTCTAAAAGACTGAAACAACCAATTTTCTAAAAGACAATGAGAAAAGGTGGGAGAACCTATTAGAAAGCTAAATTCATTTTATTTTCTTTCGGAGAGCTGGCTACTCTACCAACTAGACCACTAAATAATGCCCGATTTATTTTTTTTACTATTATTAATTTTTTTTTTTTCAAACATTACATGAGCAACATTAGAGGCATTGCATTTGCCATCAATTGTTGCATTATATTTTGCTTGTTTCTTATTGCAAAAATGGCATTTGAATTTTCAAGAGTGCAGCATTGAGCTTGGGCACTCGGCCCAGGGTGGCTTTAAAGTGCCTCTATAAGCTTTACAATCAAATCAAAATTACAATTCATGAACAAAATCTTCAATTCTCACCAATCCTAAAAAAAAAATCAATGGTTCATGCGAGAAGGTAGAAATTAATCGTTAAAGGAGCACTTGGGTGCTCAATATCAACTAGAATTTGACTTATCTTATCGAAATTTACCGATATTCTACCATTATGCAAACATTATTACTAAAGAAAAGGGCAAAATCCAAAAGATCTAACTAGAAGTTGTGATTGCAAACAATGTTGAAAATGACCGGAAAAAACGCAAGACAAATTTCCCAATTGAGGAGACTAATTGCTCTATATTCCCCATGGCAAACAATGTTGAAAATGACCAGAAAATAGAAAAGGTTTTTAAGTCTAAACTGCTAAAAATTCGCAAGCTCAATGGTGTCTTTTTGTTAGTTATAGAATGATACCGGAAATACTAAGTTCTGCACTAAAATTAGATCTAATCATCTAAATGATCAACCCAATGCATTGGTAACAGAGATACTATATATAAATTGGCAAAGCATTTTAGTAAAGAATATCTAAGAGCTTTAAAGAACTATTTAACGGCCATACAAATAAAAACCAATCCAGGGATCAATCAAATTATATACTACTGATCGGTACTGGCATTACAAGTGAACACAACTACTCATTAATTAAGCTCTCAATACTAAGCTAAACATTGATCAGCAATACATTTACTTTCAACCAAACTCAGATCCTCTATATTATGATTGAGCCCTTAAAAGTAAATTCAAGACATGCCAGGGAATTAAAAAAATACAAAATAAAAAATTCAAAGAAAAAAGAAACAACCACACTAATATTTAATTAAAGGTCTTACAAGCTTGATCCCCATATTTTATTACAGCAAGAGATAAAAATAGATTATTTTACCACATAAAAATGCTAAGCAAAAAAAAAAAAAACACTAAACTAAATTAACTCTAAACAAAATTTCCTAAAACAGTTGGCACAATCCAAATCGAGGGTGGCATATGATTATGTGAAGAATCAATGATGTAATGTGTCCCAAAGTTTCCATTCTCTATGTTGAAGATACCAATATCTCGGCGCCCAGATGGGGGTTGGTATAAAATTAGACTATAGTCATCTGTGTAATATATTGAATTCGCCTGACATCCAGGCCATTTGGAAGTTGAAACACAAATGGAATAGTTATCTCCCAAAAATAGCGTGTCTCCATCCAAGTTCTTCACTTCAAGTCGCATAAGCCAACCTTGCTCAAATTGCTCTAAAAGCAACTTGAAAACCTTAAACACTGAAGTTGCATGCTGTGAATCGTCTCCAATATCTAAAAATCTTTTTACAAGAAGTAAGTCCCCACTAGATGATTCGACAAGATACGTCTGTTGAGAATAGTTATTCGCTTGCGATGCAATTACCTCCACTTGTGGAGGTCTTCCATTAACATCAATCATTAGGACTCTATTTCTACTATCAACTGCAAAAATATGGCCCTTAAAATACATGATATCACGGACGGACATAAATCTCTTATCTATGTAAGTCCAAGCTTCATCTCCTGCCCAAATAAATGCCAAGTTATTACAACCACCATAGATGATGGTAACAATATAGTCATCAGTAAACAAAGCAGGGTCAGCTGACAATATAGTCTTCGTAACTTCAAACTCAACCTGAAGAGGACTATCATCATTGTTTTCAGGAGAAGGTTCCAATTCTGAGAGGTCCATAATTGGAGGAAGCTCGATAGTAGCGCCAGAGAACGGATTCATTAGAGTTACGCTCGATGGTAGTGCCAGAGAACGGATTCATTAGAGTTACGCCCAAGGAATCTTCCACTGTAAACAGCCAACCATGTGAGGAATCAAAAAGCCTCTTTTTGTAAGACACCCGTAACCGGAAATCATATAGCTTAGGGTAAAGTGCAAAAAACCCCCTTCAACTATTGGTCATTTTGCAAAAAACCCCCCTAATCTACTAATTTGACATATAACCCCCTTGAACTAACCAATTTGGTGCAATTAACCCCGTCCGGTGATGAGCCGGTTGAATTTCACCGTGAAAGCGCACATGATGGGTCACATGACAACCCAAATTTCTTTAAATGACCATACAACCCTTTACCTTTACACCCAAAACCACTTAAAACACCCAAACACGCCCTTATGCTAAATACACACTGTTCATCGTCAATAAAACAGATGATACCATCACCATCGTCCGGTCCGTCCCCCCAACTACACCTTCGACAACGACTTTACCCAAATCAGCCTCCGCTCCTTCCCGGTGCTTGACAGCGATAGGGATAGGCTCAATTGATGGTGTCGGCTGTGATAGAGGCGGCGGCGAGCTCGAAACGAGAAGCTCGGCCGATGAGGCGAAGCTCAGCGCTGACTTGCGGCAGTGCTCAGAACACGGACACCATAACCGCACAATACCCAATACACCAACCCTGCTAACAGATCCAAGAACCTCCTCACCATCCTCCGCCGTAAATCTCTGGCGCCCGCCGCCGCCGTCAACTGCAATAAAATTAGATTTCGCCGCTGCGTCACCGTTTTCTTTCTTCTTCTCTTCTGGCGGCAACCAGGCTTATTCGACATCTTGAAGTTCAATCCAATCGCAGAGCACCATGGATTCACAAGGCACGAATTTACGAAATTTTTGGATGCTATCGAGGTCGTCGCCGGTCTGTAGGAGGGTGCTGTCAGGGAGGAACTGAACGAAATAGCACCACGTGTCGATGAGGGTCGGATTTGGTTGGTCTGGAGGTCCAAGGCGACAGAGATGGGCTGATTGGATTAATCCACACACATCCATCAAAGCCACGATCTGAAGCTGTGTAACTCGTCGTACGTGTGTGAAACACTTCGCGAGAATGCTCTGTCTTTTACTAAAACAACGTAGTTTTATGTAAGGGGTAAAATTGTCTTTTACTATTTTCGTTTACGCCAATTGGCTGGAGATGTCACATTGGGGGTTAATTGCACCAAATTCAATAGTTCAAGTGGGAAAATTATAATTCAGGGGGGTTAATTGCACATGACCAATAGTTGAAGGGGTTTTTTTGCACTTTACCCTATAGCTTATTATGAGTGAAGTTATATAGACTACGTCTTTCGTCGCTATTATCTTTCAAAGGCACCATCAAGGATGGAACTTGTTAGAAAAACTTATTTTGAATGAATTTAAGTTGGTTATCCATTGCCACACAATGCCATGGTTTGCAAACCGCACCAAATCGAACATATTCAGAAAGCAATACCAACTTGTCCAGAATCATATCCAATAAGATCTTTGGAAGAAATGCCCAATCTGACTCCTCCATTGTCATATCCAATAAGTTTTTTGGAAGGGATGCCCAATCTGAATCCTTCATTGAACTCATAATGTTTATTTCCCTAATAACACTGCGATCTCAAACAAATATATAATAATCACAATACATCATATCTGCAATACTCCATACTCAATTCGAATGGATTCACAAAAAACAATACCTTGCTAGATATAAGTATGAATTACTTATTGGTGCAATACTTCTTTCATTGTACACTGAAGGTAACAGTTTTTTTTTTTTTTTTTTTTTCGGTAATTAAGGTAATAGACTTGCTACTAACAAATTTGAAAAAACTATTCTAATAAAATTAATTTTCAATATTAAAATCTAATTAAGCCACTACCGAATCCAAATCCCATAATCTTAAACTTATGATAGATAATCATAATCTAATTGATTTTATATATATATTGTGAATATGAACCATCAAAACAACTTACCTCAAGGCTGCAATAATCTTAAACTTCACAATTGGCCGCGATGCAAACCTTACAATATATATAAAGATGTAATCTTTTTCCTAATCCGGAAGGAATCAGAGGGAAATTTCGTACAATCCTAATAGAACAATGAATGGAGAGTTTAGGGATATTTAGGATGTACAAGTCAAGGTAAATTGCACTTCAACCCCCTCACCAAAGATTAAATTGCACACAGCGTCCTTGTCAGGTAAATTGCACTTCAACCCCTCACTAATGATAAAATCGCACAGAGCATCCTTGTCGTTTCATAGCATATGTTCCGCTTAGACGTTTGTGTTTCATAGCACTTGCCATGTAAGCATGGTTTACCCTTGTCACGTGAAAAGGTGTGGAAAAGATTCGGTTGGCCCCTCACAAAATTTGATTTAAGAGTCAGGGTGACGGTATTGGTTATAATCGTGCGGTGTAATAGGTTTGGATAAAATCAATGTAAACTCGCTAAGACATAAAAAAGGATTGTGTAATAGTTAATAAATTATATATATATTATTATTAAATGTGCAAATAGTTTCAGTATTTTAATATTTATTTATTAATTGGTATAAAAATTTAAATTAACAAAATATAAAAAGAGTCTAATTTAAATTACAAATTATCTAATAAAATTCAAAATATACTATATTATCATTTATATCGCACGATACAATAAATACAAAAATAGTCCTCCTCATGGTGAGGGAGAAAAAGAGTCTGTTTTGGAGTTAAATAAGGTCGCTAATACAAATTATAAAAAAAATATTTATTAATTAAATCTATATTCTCTTTATATAAAAGTCATTTTTGCCTTGATCTAATCACATCAATTTTCTTTTTTCCAAGGTACGGGTCACCCCCACCCCCTATTGGTAGAGGAACTCATGATGATGTATTATTTTTTTCACATAATTCATAATCCATGTTTTTTAGTACCGCTTGTTTTACCCATGCTCTAATTATATTTTTTTTCCATGCTCTAATCACATCAATTTTCTATTTTTTTTCCAAGGTACGTGTTACCCCCACACCCCCTATTGGTAGAATAACTCATTAGTTATGTCTTAATCATGCATTGTTTTATTATTAATCTTATGTTTTGATCATGCATTATTTTATTATATATATTGCCACATTTAGTGTATGCAAAAATAATAAAAAAAAAAAAAAAAACCTAATCAATTGTTTTTCTCTTCTTCTTATTATTTTTTCCAACTTTTGCCAAGATCGAAGACTTTTTTTGGCAAGGTACGTGGGGGTATTCATTAATTTTTTATTTTATATATATATATATATATTTGGGTTGTAATTATAATTTTTTTTAATTAAATTTGAATATTGTTATTGTTCTCTCAATATAATAAATTTAATTGAAAACAAATTTGTCAAATTTTGATTAAGTAAGTTTTTGCCTTGATTGTCCCAACTTTATTCCGGGTGGTTACGAGCCTTCTTGGTTCAATTTTTTGAATATAGTCTTATAATTTTAGGAGAATAAAAAACTTGTAAAAAAAAAAAAAATCATTTGGTTTAATTTTTTTTGAAAGCTGAGTTAAGAAAAAGGTAATTTCATATTGTTAATGCCTTTGAAAAAGTTGCGGTGTATCTTCAGAGTTCTTGAAATCTGCACCAAACATGCCATATATCACTGGGATTATTTGCTGAACTATCAATATAAGGGAACATAATGTGAAGTAAAGTGTAAAGTCTTAGCTCTCTAGAGTTCTTCCAACCTGAATGGGACTAGTAATTCTATAAATAATTTATTCAGCCTCTTTTTTATGTGTATGTTGGATAAATACTAGCATATGAATTGTAAAATTAAATCTAACTGGTGTTGATATGACGTACAACAGGAAAGAACGAAAAAAGAAAATTTATTTGGCCAATCCAATACATACATGATGAAGGTACACAAGGATGATGATTATGAATGATTTTTCAAACATTAAAATATACTAGCATATGAATTGAAAAATTAAATCTAAGTGGTGGTGATATGATGTATAATAAGAAAAAACAAAAAAAGAGAATTCATTTGGTCGATCCAATCCATACGTGATGAAGGTAAGGATGGTGATTATGAATGATTTTTCAAACATTAAAGTGTCATGTATTAATTTAGTGAAAATTTTCTTGTCATAAGGAATGTATTTAGACTTCAACTATTCGACGTTCTAAACATCCACAAAACCATTATCTTAGGTTTATAAATACTTTTGTTATTTTGCTAATGAATCAATTTTTTTTTTGAATTAATTGGGCTTGTCAAGGCTTGTTGATTTGTTGAACGAACTGATATAAAAAATATAATAATTTATCTAAAATTACATTTTATTACGAGTTTTTTAATAAAAGAAAATCTAATTAGGATATATTTAAAGAAAATAAAATAATTTCTATAAAACTATAGCGCAAATTACCTATTTTATTTTCAATAAAACTCTATCACATTAGACAAAGATATATTTAAACAGTTTTTATAAAACTCTATCACAAATTACCTATTTATCTATTTATTATGAGTTTTTTAATAAAAGAAAATCTAATTAGAAAAGAATTATTAATATAAAAATATTTATTAATTGATATAAAAAAATAAAATAATTTCTCTAAAACTCTAACACAAATTATCTTTTATTATGAGTTTTTTTTAATAAAAGGAAATCTAATTTAAAGATAATAAAATTATTTCTATAAAACTGTACCATAAATTACCTATTTTATTTTCAATAAAACTCTATCACATTAGACAAGTATATATTTAAAATGTTTCTATAAACTCTAACACAAATTACCTATTTATCTATTTATTATTATGAGTTTTTTAATAAAATAATATCGACAAAAAAATATTAATATAAAAAATATTTATTAATTGATATAAAAAATAAAATAATTTCATTAAAAATTTACCACAAATTACCTTTTATTATAAGTTTTTTAATAAAAGGAAATCTAATTAGACAAGGATATG